AAAGGTATAAATTGATTGTATTCTATTAATAATCTATGCGTGGACTGTGCAGTGACACTAGCTGTTTAAAATATGTTTATTCAATGTACAATGTACTACGTATTCAAATTTTAAGATCAATCTCTCATTAGTTCAATTTTAATCAAATTGTAAGTTTATTCAAATATACAGAAAATTATGTTTGAAGTTAAGTAGGTAAAAAATATACCTAAATCATAAATACTTATACGAGAAACGACATACCACAAACGTATCACGTCTAGACTAGGTTTACCTAGTTATAATTGTATACCAATATTATAATTAAATAACATTAATTTTATTTAAAATATTTCTTAAATGTATTATAATTTATCAAAATTAAATTAACTAGGTGTTACTTTATCATTAATTTAGTCAATAATATTTTCAAAATCATGTTATAAATTTATTATTTAATTTATACATTTCTTATATTAGCCGGTGGCCCCCCCAAAAAAGTCAGTCAAACCCCCTCCTTTTTTAGTTTTGTAGCATCGAAGCCCCCCGCTTACATTGTGATAATAATTTTAGCCCCCCCCCTGAAATTTTAAAGGATTTCCACCTATGGTTATACTTACCAATAATATTATTATAATCTTAAATTTATGTTCTTATTTTTAAAATCAATATCAATTTTAAAATGCATAAAAGTTCAACTTCTATAGGTAAGTATACCTATACTTTTTATATCTTAGGTTCAATTTTTCAAAAATTATATATTTATTTGTTTTAAAATTTTATTCCAGCTGCTTTCTTAATTTCATTACCATCAGATAGTTGGGTGTAATTGTGATAAATTACTAGGGAGAAGTGAGAACCCAGACGATGGACTCAGGCCACGACATCTCAGTGTTCAATATAACATCTTGTAGATCCTGAAAATGAAGAAGGTATAATATAAGGTACCTAATATAGTAATAATATATAACCTTTCCCCCAACGGCCCAACAGTAGCCTTTGTTCATCTAAATTGTTTATAAAGTTCATAACTAAGGTGTAATTATCAGTCAGTCTTTTTTTTGATTAGTCTTTGATTAGTATTTGATCTATTATTACATATTATATAGTAGTATCAACGATGCACTGTTGAAATAATTTACCTTAAAAAAGCAAAGCGTTGACACTTAGGAGTATGAATAGACAGACCGTGATACCTACCAGCATGTGTTGTCTCCGTGTTACAAGTGCATAATTTTAAATGTAATAATATAATATAATATAATATAATTATTTTAGCAAATTTTAAGCTCAGAAAAACACGTATAGCTCCCTTAATTTAAAAATATAAGAGTAAATTAACCTCTTATAAAATCTAAAGGTACCTAAGATTATTATCTAGACAATCTCATGAGCATTTTATGATATTTTAATTTTTAAGTTAGTTATGAGTACTTCAAGATCTATAGACAGTTATCAATTTTAAAATACTCATAGCTCGCTTAAAAAAATAAAATATAATATATTCTATTAATTTATTTTGTATAGACTATAAGATTTCTTGAAAACCTTCCTAACTCCTAAGAGAAACAAAATTAGGAGCCGACTCGTTGTCAAGGTAAACTCAAGAAAGATGAAAGTATGAGACCATAGGCGCAATTTAAACTTTTTACTTGGGGGGCTGAATATATTAAAGGCAAGCAGAACATTGCAATATAGCATATTAAAATTGTTTGTCCTAGGTTTTTTGGGGACCTACGGCTAAGTTTGGGGGGCTTAGAACCTCCCCCTCCAATTTGCGCCTATGGATGAGACCTTGGCCGATAAATTCTTTTGTTCAAAATACCCCTAGGAACAAGATTCTGTCTAAAATGTTTTCGAAAAAAGTCAAAATAATAACGGTTGCTATGGTGATCGAGTAATACTCCAAATTTTGAGATTAACTCAAAAACACGAAATTTCCAGGATAACTTTATCGATGAATTCCGTGCATCAAAACCCCCCTATAGGTACGAAATTCTGACAAAATCCTAGTACCCGTTATCGATAAAAATATTAGATACGTGCACGCACTTATAATTATTTGGCTGTAATACCTACTATAGTATACCTATATTGAAAAATTATTTATTTTGTATACCTATATAAAGCTAAATAATTTGTACCTACTTTAATATGTAACTATATATAAGTAACTTCAAGTAGTTTTAGCATGCGTGAACATCAGTTATTATTTTTTTTATAAGCCGAGTGAATATTGATATGAATAAATATTGCCATTATACTTCAAGTGCACTACAGATAATGAAATTTCACTTATTATGTTGTTAGTCATTAGTATAATGAAACACATCATTCATTCAATCTTGCATAAATTTATTTTGCACATTGGCGTTTAAATGTTTTACGCTTTAAATTAATGGAACTAGCTACTAACGGCGTCATAATAAAACATTTTAACGTTAATTAAAAACTTATATTGTTATAATATTCATAATTGGTGACTATTAAATATTTTTAAAAATCATAACTTTATTTTCATATCATAATTTGTTCTAATCCACAGTTTTGTACGCAGGTTGTAGATATGAATTTATCGTGGGGGAGGAGATGGTGCTGTTCACCAAGATACCAAAATCCACCTACATTTATTTTGTGGAGTAAAAATTATGATAATTTCTTATCTTTGTCGATAAATTTAATATTTATTCACTATGCAGCTATTCTTGTTTCAACTAAAATTTAGTTCCTACAATCCTACCTAGTTAAATTCGTTATTTTAGTTTAACTATCCAAATTTATCAATGTTTAAACTTGGTATTTTCGAAATTTTTAAATCACTGTAAGAACTACCTACCTGAAACTTTGTATTACATTTCCAAGCTTTCAGACCTAGCACAAAAAATGTTATCAACACTCATGAAAAAATATGAATATTAAAACCTTTTTACTACTAAAAAAGTGTCTAAAAAAAAACACATCATTGTGACATTAATATGATTCTTCGCTCTCCTCAGAATCTAAAATTAACAGATTATAGTTTTTACATCCCTGCGATTAGAACTGTAGCGCCAATCGAGAGTGCCTTGAGCAAAGTGATATTAACATCTATAAATAACAATAGGTACCGTAAAATATAGTTCATGTCGGCGTCGAAATACACTTACTTTGTTCACCGTTCACCTGCCACCCTCAAAAAAATAAAATAATATTTGATCACGCCCAACGCAATCCAATCACGGGAAAATCGATGTAGGTGGTTTGTATTTTACGGTTATAAAGTAGTTTAATAATAGTTATATAAACATAGCGTAAATAAATATTAAAATATACGCTTACGTTTTAGGTTCCAACTGGTGGTTCAGCTTATTGCTGAGGTAATAAAATATCTCACGTCCCTAGTCGGTCGACCTGATTGGACTGTAATAGTTTAACGGTCGCAAACAATTATTATTACATATCGTATCGTTATGTCAACAACGACATATTAATATTATTAATTTTCGTAGGTACCTATTATATTATTATGTGCTGCAGTAATAACTATTAACTAATAAGTAATAACCGTAGAGTCACTCGTCGCGGTTGACCACCATTACAACAGTAAGTTATCATTTATCGCACACACGTTAAAGTTAAACAGGGTGATTCACCAAGCATGCTCACTCCCATTTTTCACCTAAATAATGAATTTATTATAATTCTGATATTTAGAACTTTTAAATATACTATGGGCCATATTTTTAAATACTTGGATTCCTTATACCTATCATTTAAGAACTCCTGTGGGCTGTGGCGGTAGAAACTTATTTTTTAAATTTAAACCGCCATTTTTTCTTATAAATTGTTAATCATATTACTTAACTGTACATTTTGATTTACCTATCTAGTATCTAAATCATAATACTAACGTAATTTTTTAAGTTATTTTTAACCTTATGTACTACCTATATGGATAATAGGTCCATTATGATAATGATTAATGGGTTTGGAAGAATGGAAGATATGTAGGTAGTATGTGGTAGTTAAGATTATTCGAAAATTATAGTAGGTGACTAATATAAATCTATCAACATTTTTATAATTTGTAAAAATTGACAATTGTCTGAGTATAATAAAATAATAAATACTAGATCCAACACCTATTATATCTTTTTGATATTTTTGTAAAACCAATTTTTTAGAACTACTATTTTTAGGGTACCAGAAAGTAGAAAAACTAATCTTTATAATTTTTATTTAGACACCACGTCAGTTGCGTATTTATGTGGTGGTCACAGGGGGATTTATCCCCCCCCCAGACGATTTTTATTCTTTTGCTTAATGCATATTTATTTTTAATTATATTATACTTTTACATTTTAATCATTTTAAAGTAACGAAGGTATTTAATATTTTGTCTCCACACCCCCCCCCCCCAATGGTTCACAGCTGTTATCCACTGCACCGCTTAAACTATTTCAAAAAAATCATCTGCTTAATAATTTGCTGTAAAAAAGGTTGGTTTTCATTTAAAAAAATGGAGTTTGTATCACGTCACTGGACACATCCATTAAATGCTATATAGGTACATCAAAACAATAATTTGTAAATATGGTCATAAGTATATACTTAAAAATTCCAACAATCAGCATTATTTTAACAAATTCATTAGTACCTATTTTATTATAAAGTAAGTAGGTATAAATAAGAATATACAATATGGGGATGAGCACGCTTGGTGAATCATCCTGTATAATATATTTTATATTAATATTATTATATTATATCTAAAAGGATAATATACCTAATCGGTGTAAAACAATATATGTGTCATGGTGGGGACGAGGGAGGTGCGCGGAAAGCCCGAGACGCCGCCGGCTTGCCGCCACGGCCGCCGTTGAGGTCAGTCACGGTTTGGCGTTATGAACGCGTGGACGGCGGACGCCTTCGCACCACCGCCTCTGTCACCATCGTTGCTACAATAGTCGTCTGCGACCGTCTTCCTCACCGAAACGGATCACCAGTAAGCGGCCGTGCAGGCACTGCGGGCGCCGGCCACAATGATGGCCGCTGACGGCGGAGAGCTGAACGTGCCGTACGCCGTTCTCGAGGGCCTGGTGGCCGTTGGAGCAACCATCGGCAACGGGCTGGTGATTGTGGCCTTTCACAAGGAACGACGTCTCCGCCGGCGCACCAACTACTACATTGTGTCGCTGGCGGTCGCCGACCTGTTGGTGGGTCTGGTGGGCATACCTTGCGCCGTGTTGTCCAGCGTCGGGCTGCCCCGTCACTTGCACTTGTGCATGTTCTCCGTGTCGCTAATAATCGTCTTGTGCACAGTGTCCATACTCAGCCTGGTGGCCGTGTCCGCCGACCGATATTGGGCCATACTCTACCCGATGGCCTACTCCACGAACTCGAACACCAAAATCGCAATCAGTAAGTATCTGTACATTTGCACACGCGTATACGCCAGGAGCTCTACGCTCGTACCTATCTGCTGTTGTCGGCTACCGTCGTGGAGTCGTCTAAATAAAAATAATATAAAATTCACCCAAATTGTATGTACGTAACCCACCCATCTATTTAGGAATATACGGCCTGAAATATTTTAATAACACGGGATAGCTATAACTATTATAATATGTCATATGAGTTAGTAAGGAGTCGAAGGTTGTCATTTCGTTATCATTCTCGCTGCGACTGACAATAACCATCATCGTGCCTTCCATTTGAACCCGCCTACTCTATACTTAATACAAATTATAGGATTATCATGTAGTATTATGTGTAAATCTCTTGCTTACTTACCTACCACGTGAATTCCACTCGAAGCTCCGACCAATGGTCAAAATGGGCACGCTCGGTAAAATGTCGTCCGAAAATTTTTTTTTTTATTGAAAAGTGAATAAAATAAGTCTTTTGCTTATAATTATTCACAACTTTGATTAAGAGAGAGTATTTTTTACATTTATTTTTTCGGATATTTTAAGAAATTTAAATTTTTGCTAAAAACATCGTTATTCACAAATATAATATATGCCGTATCAATTGTGTACAATTTAAATGTCACATTACCGTAGTCATAAATCCATAATGCACTTGTAATATTATTTATATTTATTTTCCACGTGGCTGATATTGAGAATTACGGTAATATAATATATTATGTAGAATGCAGATACGAGATTGGAGGTATACAGTTTGGACAATATCTCGGGATTTATGATTTACAATTTATACCTACTTAGTACTTGATTATATAATTATATTATTTACCTACTCGAAGTCTCGATTTTTCAAATTTACAATCTTATATGATAAAGAAATACACGAGTACCTACCAGTCATAACATAATACTATATCTACTGGTACGTAGGTACTATAGTGTACTCCTGTATACGTTATGTTATATATTGTGAATAATTCGGCTAATATACAATTCGAATTACATTTTTTAAATGGTACAAAACTACCAAACAACAGTTTTCACAAATGGGATTATTAACTTAAAAAATATATTGTGCTATGCTGCTATATTATAGGTATACTATACGTAGTAGTTACAAGTCGTATACTTTTAGTAGTGTAGTTAATAGTTTTGACTTATCTATACTAGATCAGCGGATCTCAATCTCAACATTTGTGTGTTGACGACCTTAGATATTTACCCAATATTTCAAGCGACCTTTTTAAATATAATGTTCAATGTGGGACTAGGTATGTACCCTACCCCGCCACCTTAATTTTTTCATATACCGTAATTAAAAGAAATTATTACTCTTAATTAATTTTATTTTTGACTTATGTTAGGTGGTTCTTATATTAATAATATTCTTCATAACTAATTTTTTGGCCACCCATTCAAAATTATTCGTGGCCCTATATATAGTTGAGAACCGCTGATCTATATAGAGACGGTATTGCAGTTTTATTTATAGTATTTTTTAGTTGTAATTGTAATAATTAGTAGCTTTAATCAATTTAACTTTTCAACAATCATATTTGCGTAATTGAATCAACAATTCTATTTCTAACCAAGTATTCCTACCTATATTAACTATAAAATTATTACATATTTACATGTATATTTAATGTATGCATATATTATAATGAACATTAAATAATTATATGTATATTTAAAAATAACACAAATAATTTTTTGATTTTTGTACAGTATTATATTTTAATTACTAGGAATATCTATTAATAAATATGTTTTTTTTGTATTACGTGGTGAGTAATTTAGTTAGTCTTGTCTGTTATTTTTTTTGTTAGCAATAACAATCTACATCCAAATTTACAATTTTTAAGGAGACAAAAACCATTTTTTTTGTATATAATATATATTAGAAATATTTTAAAATGTTGAAGTATTATGAATTATGATATTGATACATTATCTATTTCACATAATTCCATTACATAATTAACAAATTTTAATAATTTAATAAAATAAACACAATAATATTGTCATTAAATATTAGTTTTTTTAGGTGCAACAACAGAATACGTCCAAAACACATCTGGTTATTGCACCGAATATGTTATAGGTAGGTAACACGTTAATGAACAAAATATATATCGAAGAAATATTCGTTCATAACATATTTCACATTCATTAATTTATTTTATATATTTATATTATTACTCCTTTTATTAAATTAAAAATAATGTGCTTGGTAATAAAGTAAGAACATTAATTTATAAAATATAAAATGAAAATAGTAAAAATGTTTTAATAATTTGTTTGATATATTATTATTGTGATTGAAATGAATACGACAAAATTATAAACAATATTAGTGAGTCCACAGTTTTGCCAATTATATAATGATTAACTGGTTATTAAACAAAACAGTACATACCAATATTATTGGTCTTATTATCAAATCCATTACATATTTATTATAATATTATTTACATATTCCGTTAATGCACAAAAAAAGTGATAAATAGCATAGGTTGATTCGGTGTAAAAACAAGATACGCCCGTATACGTATTTGGTTATTGCACCGAACAGAATGAATAGAAAAGATTTTTCTTGTATATTTTTCAATACATTGATTGGACATATCTGGTTGTTGCACCAATTGATAGAGAATTTTGTTCCCAATATTTTGATGTAAAATAAACATTTTTGAAAATGTTGGAGGTATCTCGCTATTGCATTGGTGCCTTCAGTTGGTCTTCAAATTACTTTCATGTTTCATGTTACCTTATCTATCAAATGGAAATTTAAACTATAGTTTTTAGGTCTTTAAATTGTTTGATTTGTTAACAGTTTCCCAAAGACCAAAGTGTAGGGGAAAACTATCTATACCGACGGGCGACGACCATAAAAAGATAATGCATATAGGTACATATTTTAGTTATTTTATTCTTTTTTTAATTCCAAAACTTTAAATTATCTTTCATAATTTATTTATTTTATGAGTACCACCTACCTATCTATATGACTTAAAATGTAAAGATCTATAATTTTTTATATATATTTGGTAAAAGGCTTCAACTACATAGGTTTTTGGTCTACATTAACTTAATATTTAAACAAAGAGGTGCCTACTGCCTATATACATTAAAACAAAATACAAATATTAACACGTTATTTACAATTTATGGGCAAGGTTTTTATTTTTTAAACCCATATTATTATAGTTACACTTATATATAAGTAAATAAGTTATAATATAGTTAGGTAGGTATATATTTATATGATATAAGGTACCTTTGGTACCTACTATGTATAGTTAGTCGGGGATTCGTTCATTACTGATTTGTTTAAACACTTTAAATGAGATGGTTTATAATTACATATTTTGCATTAAAACTTATAATAACTACATTGCTTTTTGGGTAAGTTGTATAAAATTATGACACCAATATCATAGGTATAACCTATACGCTGAAATGAGTTAAGCTGTTTCTGTATATCATGTTAGGCTATTTTTATTATTTGGTATTATTTATGTTTTGAAAATTAAAATGTATTACAAGATAAAAGTAAAAAGTAAAATAAAAATTTAAAGGGTTTATAATAAATTAATATATTCAATGATATATTATGCACCTAATAGTATAATACAATTTCGTCTTATTTGATAAGAATCATTATTACGTTAGGTAGGTCGTAGGTACATAATATTAACCTTGACACATGTATAAGCATATACCTCCTGTATAATAGGTAGGTACTCATGGCGGGATAAACACATAGTTAACTGGGGTAGTGGGGTGTAGATACCCAAGAATTAATATGAACTATTTTTATTTAATAAATACTTATACCTACATAAATAGCGATTTTATATTTTGATATGAAACTCAATTTTTTATTTATTCGGAATAGGAAATAATATTTTAGAATAACTGCATTGACATTTTGTGTTATTTTATGCTATTTTTGATATTAATTATGTAAAAATATATTGCTTAAGTTAAAATATATAATTGATTGTGTAATTATGTAAATATACACATACAACATACCTAACCTATTAATATAATATAAAGGTATAAATTGATTGTATTCTATTAATAATCTATGTGGACTGTGCAGTGACACTAGCTGTTTAAAATATGTTTATTCAATGTACAATGTACTACGTATTCAAATTTTAAGATCAATCTCTCATTAGTTCAATTTTAATCAAATTGTAAGTTTATTCAAATATATAGAAAATTATGTTTGAAGTTAAGTAGGTAAAAAATATACCTAAATCATAAATACTTATACGAGAAACGACATACCACAAACGTATCACGTCTAGACTAGGTTTACCTAGTTATAATTGTATACCAATATTATAATTAAATAACATTAATTTTATTTAAAATATTTCTTAAATGTATTATAATTTATCAAAATTAAATTAACTAGGTGTTACTTTATCATTAATTTAGTCAATAATATTTTCAAAATCATGTTATAAATTTATTATTTAATTTATACATTTCTTATATTAAAATGGTTTATGATAATAATAAATTGAAAGTTGTAACTAAGAATGTAATTGATACTGTAAAGTGGAAAAATTCAAGTAAAAAAAAAAATAGTAATCAACATACCGATTTATAAGTATTTATTATAACGATTATAATATATCATGTACCTAATATAATTTAAAAAATGTGCGAAACCAAAAACATTTATTCGAAGAAAAAAACATTAAGTAGAAAGGTTATGTTGCGTTTGAAGATCCTTATATCACGCTCATGAAAACCAATTTATTTACCCACTGTAAAATATTTCTATCATAAAATTTAAGATGAGAAAAATATTTAATTCTACTAAGAAATATTATATGTATATGTAGGTAATCTATACCTACTGTTAACTGCCATGTAGTTTAGTTATAATATAATATTCATAAATGTTATTACATTCGGGCATTGGGTCCATTAAACTCTAAATTTTTTGGATTTCTTAAAAAATTACCAATTACCACTTTTAAATCTTGATTTATACAGGTGACATGTTGTTAATTAAGTACATTAGTAAAAATTAAATTAACTGAAGGATAAAATTATTACCTTTATAATAAATACCTATATATCAAGTAGGTATTTCATATATTTTCGCAACTATGAAATAATGTCATAAAATATTACAAGTCTCATTAAAAAGAGACACTAACAAGTGTGACGTGTGCTATGAATATAAATTTAAAATTTACACATTAATACAACACTAATTATCTCACATCTAAAATATATTATACAATACTGCAAAATCCGACCATGTCATTAAAAAGTCCTATAGATTATATTATTATTATTACAACGTATTTGTAGGCGCCACACAAGTACTGACAATCACGTTCGACTGATTCGCGACATTTATGCTGACATTTGCAATATATGTTACGCGTATTAATTAGTACTGTCTTACAAATTTTGCATACTAATAATTATTTACTAATTATTTAATATCTATTGTCACGAAATGTTGAACGAATAACTATTGAGACGTGATTGGAATATAATATATATAGAATATATTTTGGTGAGATTGATATAATTATATCTTACTTCGAATGTAGAACAAGGATATTACTTATGTAAGTATTGTAATAGTGGCAATATTAATTCATTTATATTACTTACGTATTGTACAATATATAAATGCTTATACAATACGTCTTTTAAGTTATAACATGGTTAATTTTTATTTTATCAATAATTATCTTATAATATTAGAAAAAAGGATTAAGGGATACCCCTTAAAAAAAAAAAGAATTGGAAAATCCACTAATCTAAAATCAATATCTATATTGTTATATTTATGGTGTTTCAAACTTTCAAATTTAAAAAGCTGGTAAGTGCAGCGTGGTTGAGTAGGTCAGCGGTGGTGGAAGTTTGTCCGTCGGTCCTCGGACAGGATATAGTGTATTATTACAGTATTCGATTTGAAATTTAAATGCAATGATAAAAAACGATTCTGAGCGGACGAAAGAAAATGTATGAATCATAAATATGTACCTAAATGTATTAAGAAGTAACCATGAATCATATACCTAGTGGGAATTAGGTAATTTTTAAATTTTATCCGTTTCTATAGCAATGAACAAAGCCTTAGAAATAAATAAGTTAGAAAAATACATTTTGGTGGTTTTTCTCGTGGTATTAAAAACTATTGAGGAAATCGAAAAATTATTCTCTAAAGTACCATTTTGATCCAATTTGCTAAAAGATAAGATACTATAATATGTTGAAATCTGCTTTGATTAGACTCCCATCTGGTAGAAATTTTGTTTACAGGAAAAAAAAATAAACATAACTATTGTAAAAACCACTAGTTTCTTCATTCCGCTCAGAATCTAAAATTAAGTAGGTACCTAGAATTTACTTAGTTTTTATGCGCTAAATTGCTCGAAAAGTACAGTGGAAAAAAATTAAATTAATAGCTCATTTGTTATTTAAATATTGAAAAATATCATAAGTTGATTTACTTAAATACAATTTAAAAGACACTTGTGACCTGGTGTGGTGCGATGATTGGCTTTAGTCACAAGCGTGTTCTGAAGTCAAGCATCAGCCAGCGTCTTGTTATGTTTTAGTGACAAATCCTTGCCACATAATATACACGTATTCTAACCAACCGTACTTTACCCTACTGTTAAATACCTACAAAATAACGTGCAGGCTAATGACCATAGGTGTTGAAGCAAAAAATGAAAAATATATAAAACATATTATTTTTACTTGATCATCTTTGAGTAGAGTTCACCAAGTAGGTACACTTATAAAATCAAAAATGTACATGTTGTTATTTTGTGGTTTAAATTCTCAGTTACGCTTAACCCACTGATTTTACCGGTCGAATTCCGCAGTTTAACATTAGTTTAACTATTGTAATACGGGCCCTTAATGTATTGGCATGTCACCGGTCAATACAGTAATCCTGCCAGATGAGGTTATTGATGAAGATGAACTTATAGCATCCAAAAAAATAGAAAACGGGATTTTGTATTATAGCTATTTTTTTTTGTTTATCGTATTAAACACGTTATTGGCGTTAGTATGAATTTATAATAAATGGTATTAGGCACCTACTATACAATTTGTGTTAATTCTTATTTCCCCTTGATCCACACTAACCTCAACAAGTTAGGGGATTTTAAAAATGTATATTATATACGTATTTATGGGTGTACTTATTATTATATATTTCATCCCCCCCTAGCAAAATTTCTAAATACGCCACTATAGTTAGCCCCAGCTCGGCTCCCTTACCCTACTAATTTTAGTATTTTACAATTTTACAATTTACAATATATTATAATAATATACATACACCTACTAGCTCTGATTGTAATTTGTAATAATATAATAAGTGTCGCGTCAATAATACCTTACTAATAATGAGGTATCTATACTGACGTAGTTTTAATAAACATAATATTTGAACAGTTAAACTACCTACATAAAAATAAATCTGTGATACAAATATCATAGTTTTGAGTATCAGCTTTCAAAACTTATCTATACTCAAAGAAAAAGAAACATTCCAAAATGATTTCATTGTATACACAAATATGTATTTGTGTTAAATTCCTAATCTATACCTAGGTAATAGACATTTAAAATTTTTCACTGTTGTAGCATCAAGTAATCAATTATTTTCTATGATTGATATTAATATAGTACATAGCTTTGACAATTGGAGATACCACATACCTACATATTAATATATTATTATAAATTGTGTAGGACTATTCGCGCCATTAATTTAAGCTTCATCTGATAATTTGAAATTTAAAAAAAATGTATACTCACTTGTATAATATATTATGTTGGCACAATTTACATAAATATATAATATTAAACTTTTAAACTATAAACTATATAACACACTTATATAGTGTATTATTTAATAAAAACGTATTCACTATAAAGTAAGTCATATATAATTTAGTATGAATAATATTATTATCTGTTAGCAAGTTATAACATAAAAAAAAAGTCTCTACTGATAATTTTTATTATATGATGTGGATATTATGTAAAATTAGAATTCATATTTGTACAAACTGTAATTATTTTTAAGTATTGATATCTATAGACAGGAAGTTCCTCGGTCCTATATAAATCGTGTACATAGGTTAGACTATCATTATTATAATTTTTTTTTTTGATAGTATATACCTATATTATGAAATAATAAAATAAACATAAACTGATTCATTCGCAAATTAAAAAATATCGTTATAAAAACTTATGAGGAATTTTGTGTTAAATTTTCAAGGATTATTATAAAAATTATATGAGCTTTTACCTAGGTAAAAAGTAATGTGTACATTTTCATGGTTTTGACAACTTGTTAACATTTTAACTTGAAAGGCATAAAAAAATTACTTAGAACTTTTTACAGTCGATGACTTATGAGAACTACTTATGAAACCTGTATTCATTTTTTTTACAAATACAAATTATCACTAATAAAAAAAACAAAAATTTAAATGTCTATAAATAGTACAAAAAACAATAAATTTATTGATAATTATGCATCCAATTTGTTGTCTTACATTTTTTAATACAACAAAGTAGGTAATATATAAAACGAATTTTGTCAAAAACTGGCATATTACGTACATAAATATTCCCTTTTTCCGTAATGTTTGCCCTAATTATTCTAGTAAGTACCTACTTGGACATTTTATAACTTCATATTATATTATACTAGACATTTTTTTTTTAGAATTTCAGATACCTACGCTACACTTATAAGAAGATAAAAATGATTTTCAGTTTACAATAATATTTGACTCAACTATAGTCGACTTGACCAAATTACGAAATGTACCTATCTATATAGGTATATATGTACCTATAGGTACCATTATGATATAAAGTTATCGCAATATCACGTATAGGATTTAAATTTTTATGATGGTTAAATCGGGCTTAGGTACATCAATTTATTCGATTTTATATCGACTCCGAAAAACCTTAAATTCAATATAATATATTTATAGGTGTATAGGTGTATAGGTAAATTTTAGATTCTGAGCTGAGCAAGGAAGCTATTTAGTGGTTTTACAATGATGTTTTTTTAAAAAAATTTTTTATCCTGTAAATAAAATGTCTACTAGAAGGATCAAGGAGTGCTTTGATACATAATATCTTATTTTATTTATAGTATCCTCATAGTTATTTAACCCCACGGGAAAAACCACAAACAAATGACAAAAAACCACTAAAAACGGGATTTAAATTTCTAACGCTTTATTTATCACCACAGAAACGAATACAATTTAAAAATTACCTAATTTTCACTAGTTATATTATATACAATTGATGGTTACTACATGGTTACTTCGTGGTTACTTCCTCCACCCCTGACCTACTCCACCCTACTGAACTTATCAGCTTTTTAATATTTGAAATTATAAGCTATATAATAATATTGTGTACTAAATACTAATAAAACTTACGTTTAAAATTAACTAACTAGTTGGTTCGTTGTGTAATATGCCAACCAGCCAATTTCATGTAAAAGTATGTAAATAATTATTTTTAATTATACCCATGACTTTTTTTTTATGATTTGTACCTACTTATTATATTTTGAATTTGTTGTGTAATCTAAATCACTTAAATCGTGATATATGTATTTTAAATAAATGATACGTTATATACGTTGTATACTAATATACAAAATATTAAACACTGATAGATTTAACATTATGAGTTATAACTAGTGTAGTAGTGTTATTAAACTAATTATTTTAATAAAACAAATCAGTAAAATATTAGTGAAGTCTATGTATAAATGTAAATTAATATAAAGTTTGAATCAGAAGTTTTGGTAGAGTCAATAAAGTCCCATCGAAACTGTTACTATATTTTTAATTTTGTGTTTGTTTTATAGGCATAATATGTATTTGCTGGATAATGGGTCTGCTGATAGGTTTCTTGCCACTAATGGGCTGGAGAGCGGCCAAAGGTCCAACATTGGATTCATGCGAGTTCAGTCGCGTGATGGATTATAACTACTTGGTGTTTTTATACTTAGCGACTATTATTTTACCTGCGCTGTTTATGGCCACCTCCTATGCTCATATTTATACAGTCGTAATAAAACAAGTAAGCATTAAAAATGTAATGCACTCAACGCAAATAAATATAATATAATATAATGCACATTTAATAGTATTTTCAGATGATATAAAATTAAACTTGTCTAACCTGTAAAATCTGTTATCGAAATTAATAACTATAGGTACTCTATTATTGTGGTTTGATTGAAAATAAAGAATCATATTATATATTATGATCATTATTTTGTGAATTCAAATATATTTTGGACACTAAAAAAAAAATGGGACAGCAGGATACAGACACGATTGAATAGGGTTTTATACATTTAAATTTAATTCCATCATAATTATAATAGATATTTATTTGTTATTATTTATATGATAATTAAATAATATATATATTAAATAACTAACGAGCAGCACCGAAATGGGAGAACTTTTTGTCATATATTATTTTAATAAACACTTTTTATATTTGGTGTAGGTATACCTGTTACCTATACATTCATAAAACAATCATAATATAGCCGCAGTCTCTGTCACAGTCACAATTGACAAGTATTAAAGGGTAATTAAAAAAAAATATATATGTCTAGCAATGTTTCAAGAATAAAACATGTCTGCTTTACAACAAGATCTTGTCAATTAGTAAAATCTATTCAGAATCGATGGTCGGTTAGGTATTATAAGACAGGATTTCATCAATTCCGCCTTACTTTTTTACTAAGGGGAAATCTGCATCGTTTCTGCCACAAATGGCAGCAGAATTAATACCCATCATCGATTCTGTCAATTTAAAGTTTTGAGTTTAAACAACTCGAGATACTATCTTTCATACCGAAAACCACTAGTCAAACTAGTCGATATCGAGGGATATGTTTTATATGTTTGAATAAACAACAAAAATATAATATCTGAAAAAATAACTTTTACATGGACTAAGACGGAGTGTTTTTGTTGGGGTATTATATAACAACCAATATTAATAATATTATGCACTTTATCAACTCTATATATACATAGGGTGCGTGATTGTCAAAAGAGAACCCGATGCCACACTTATGCGACTATAGGCCGTAAAACTGTTAAAAGAAATTTTTATAAAGACTGCAGTGGCTAATATAAGATACAAGGTATCCCATAAAGAATATCCTGGTTTCTAAAATCATAACTTCGAGGGTTTTGATCGTTACGTGATCTACAGTAAGTTGTTGTCGGATGAACCTGCAATAGTGAGTCCCTAGTTTTTCAACATCTGCCAACAAGTAACAACACAATCAGACTTGAATAACTGATAATAAAAAAAATATTCTATAAACTATTAAGGACCGTTGGTTAACTTACACCTGTTACGTGTTAGCCAGAGTTTGGAAAAAAATGTACAAAACTCGATAATCTATAGTTTTTATTTGTACTATCTACCAACTGCTTCAAATTTACAATAAGTGTAGGTATAATATAATTAGGGTTCTAAAATTTCATGAAATTTATTTTCTTGAAATATTATATTTTGAGGACTGAGGAGTATAGGACTTATTAGGTTTTTCCACAACTATACAATAATTGTCGATATTGTCAATATTGTCGATAAAAAGGTTGATTATTAAGCTATAAAGAGACTATCGTAAATAGACGTAAGTGTTCGATACGACAGACTACGACCATCCAATTATGATTTTTCCAGACCATTTTACGTTTATAAAAATATAAAAATGCGAAATATGTCCAAATATGCTAAAAATTGATCAAATATGCACTTTTTCTTTAAATATGACGAAATATGCAAAAATATTTAAATTCAAACTTAGTATTTAATTTCGTAATTTCATAAAATAAATTTATAACTCACCTAGAATAATCTACGATCACTACAAAAAACATGCAAATACAACAAGTCCCGAACCCTACTCATAACCCTAAATATAATGCTTTATTAAATACAATATCGTTTTGAAACCATGAAATTCTTTGTGGCACAATATTATATTTAATGCAGTATGTGTATGCCGCGTGTTGTGTATAGGAAGAAATCAAATAAAACCAGCAATACCGTTTCAGATCAAACAAATGACGCTGTTGAACGGCGGCCAACGCGGCGGCAACAGTCCGACGAAATTGCGCGTGCTGGGCGCGGCCCGGAAAAGCGAGGTGAAGGCCACTCAGAACCTTTCCATAATCGTCGCGTTCTTCGCCGTCTGCTGGATGCCGCTGTACACCATCAACTGCGTGCAGGCGTTCTGCGACGAGTGTTCCGTGCCCGATTCCTTCATGCACGGCTGCATCATCCTGTCGCACCTCAACTCTGCCGGCAACCCTCTGCTGTATGCGTACCACCTGAAGGACTTCCGGAACGCGTTCAAATCGCTGCTGCTGTGCAAGAAGAACCCGCTGCACCGGAACCCCGCACCATCGCGGTCGGGCTGCTGCACCACCGTGGCGGCCGTCACCGGCGGTGGCAGCGGAACCGCGGTCAACGGTAACGATTGTTCAGGCAGCTCGTCTCTGACGTGTTCGGGCAGTTCGTCCCTGTCGACCGTCGTCGATTGTTGGCGCCGGCCTGCCAAGAACGCCGACGCGACATGTTCAGCTGCAGGGGACCCGCGGTACACCGTCGAACAGCAGGCCCACCAAGAGATTGTTGGGTGGCCCGCCGACTCTGTCAACCGCAGCTGCAACGCGATCGCAATAATCGACCCGTCCGCGCCCGTGTTGCTGTCGGTCCGTCAGCTCGCCGAGTGAACACCTCGGCGTTTGCGTATACAATAATAATATGTGACTAACGAATATATAACGATAATATTAGGGGAGTGTGGTCCACATTGAGACGAAAATTGGATGATTGTATCTCATTAAAGATAGAAGTACTAAACGAATTAGAGAATAACAGGGCTTATTATAGAGTACTAGATAATTATTTAAGACTATTTAAACCGTTCAAAAAAATTGATTTTTTTAAAAAGTAGAAAATGTCTCATTGTAGACCATGCATGGTATAAAGTATATAGTATTGCTATATACATATATATTATACACCTACATATAATATATGAACAAGACATTTTTTGTCTCATTGAAACCTATTTGTTATTTTTTTATGCCATGGTAATAATATTATCGTTATCAGTCTATTAATATTATAGACGCGCTCGACGGGCCGAAACAGACATATTCATCGGTATTGTATATCATGTAAATAAAATGATGCTAAGTTCTTCGATTGATTCATCACTGATGACTAATTGGTTACCGGTTTATCTGAGGTACCTACTTACTTTAAGTCACCTGTACAATATACACATACGCAAAATGTACATCAATAATAGATATTATGTATTATACTACATAATAATGAGTCAAACCTACGCATTATACCCTCCTCCCCGGCCCCCACCGAAATTAATTCCTTTATAAGGCCACTGAACAGAAATAGGGTTTTACTTTTAAACTAATATAAAAATTTGCAAACAAATACTTCGATAGTTCGATGATTGAAACTAAACTGACAGAAGACTCTATAGTGCTGCACACATAATATAATAATATATACATAGCTAATATTATAGTCGTATACTCGTATTGGTCAGTACGTTTTGAAAATTCTGTATAATTGGCAATTGCATAGGTATTATTTAGGTAATTATAAACTATTCAAATTTCAAAAATTCACATGAAAAATATCTATGCAATTACTGATTTTATAACGTTTCAATTTTCAAACGTTGCACTACGGCATCAATTGTATAATATACAGTTACCTAGTTTTAGGGTATTTGTGTACTAATATAAAAAAACATTATAATTCTATAATCAGACCATTTTATTTAACTATTTCAAAAATGGTCTGGGAGGGATTCTTTCTTTAAAGCATTCTGATTTTATATGTTGTAAAATAATATAGAAAAAAATAATCGTATAACGAAAGAAAATAATATAGTATTATAAATAATACATATAGTCATATAGGCACAATTAAAAATATGTGTATTGTGCATTTGAGAAATATACAATATAAATATGTAGGTATATTTTAAGTTAATTATGCAATTGTAGAGTTCCTAAGTATTTTTAAATTTTAAATTTACACTTTTATAAATTGTTAGAAAGGTATATAATATATATTTTAATATTATTATTATTATTATAAGGCTTCAATATCTATCAATATGTTATTACTTATTAGCCTATGCCCTACGGTGTCCTTAGTTACAATATTAAACTACAGTTTTAAATTTCATTATTTTTGATTTACCAGATTAACCTACAGCGGCTACAGCTATAAAAAAACATATATATTAAAAGTTGGTTTTTGTAAAATGTAAAGACAATATATTATACAAATTATAGGTGGGTACCTCGAATAAAAAAAATTGAAATTTGATACATTATTACGAATAGAAACGAAGTTAAAAATATTTTTCTGCATGGAAACCAATAATTGGCTATAGATTTATCCCTAACCACCTAGGTGCATAAACAATGGTTTTCAAAGATACCTTGAAACTGGATTTTAAAATATAGTATGGTACCTACCTACATTTTTATAAATATTGCAATAGCCACCAATGTCCAATACAATATATATCTAAGCATAAGATTATGTATTATACAAGTTGATTAAATATTTTACTTCTAGTACCTAGGTAGATAATAACTTAATTTAGGAACTGCATAATTCAAGCCTCGTCTTAAATAGTTAAATATTACCTACGACTTACGAGTCAATTTTTATATCTCTAAAGGAAAAAAGATTTGAAGTGTCAGAAGTTCCATTGTGTTAATTTACATGTCACCCACTCACCAGCTGTAAATGTATAATTGAGTATAGATAACTAGGTACATATTAAAAAAAAAAAATGTTGACATAATTTATTACGTACCTATGTTGTAGGTATATCGTATTTTATTTTTTAGAATTTTGAGAATATTTTCAATTTTCAATTAATCTATAGTTATCTATAGGTAATAGTGATACAATATATTTAAATATATATAAATAAATATAATATTATATATTATATATTGTGGTAGAAGTGTACAATACATTTTTTTTTTCGATCTTTATTCTTCGAGTATAAGGCAATTAGTTTATAGAATGTGATCTTTCTAAAAATCTGGCAAATTATAGTTTTCATTATATTTTATTCTTGGTAGGTAGCAGTTTTTTTTATAAATTAATAATTAAACATTTTAACCTTGTTATTCTAACTTTTGTTAGATTGCATAGTTAGTACCTAAAGAATTAATGTTTATAGAATATTAATAATTTGATTGTTGAGTTTCGGGTTTGGTCAAGGTTTTGCCCAAGTTGTCTGGTATGTTGATGTTGATGTGATCGTTGATGAATGAGGGCATTCTGTTATTATGGTTTGGCTGTACGCCTGTACACCGTTCCACTAATTTTACATATTGGTTGGTCGTTTTTTCCCATTAGGAAAATACGATAGTTCATAATGTATCCAATATAAAGTTTATTTTTATTATTGTTTATAGAAATTATTGTTTTATTTAAAATACGTTATTAATTATTATTGCAATTTTTTAGAGATAAAAACATTTTGTTGACAAACACACAGTGGCGTATACAACTAGGGGGAGCGTGGGGGGTCAGATCCCCTCCCATTGGCTTTGGAGTGGATAATCTTCCATATTATGTTTGATGTGAATTTTGAATCAATTCAAATTATATTCATTGTTCCTTACTGCTTAATATTTTACTACCTAAGAAAAGAGTTTAGAGAGGGTGGGGGATTTCCCAATTTTTCCCTCCCATTTAGCTATATTTGATAATATATTTGCTATTTAGCTATTTTTGTTCCCCCTTTCAGAAATCATGTCACATAATTTATAGGTTATTACCAGACTTGGGTAGTATTCCGAATACTTTTGTTCTTATATAGGTATACTCTTAATATATATATATAAATATTACTAATTATTACTTAATTATTATAGTAATTTGAATATAATTTATAACTAACAGATAGCCAGATAGTTGTGTTCTGTGTATTATCAAGATTAAAGTAATGTTCATTTATAAACACAGAATTAAAAAAATAAATTTTTGCTATTGAAATCTAAATCTACTGAAAAAAAGTATTCGAAAAATATTTGGAATACTTTTTGTGAAGTATTCCAAATACTTAGGGCTATTATTGTCATAAAGTATTCGAATACATAATATTAAAATCAGAATATGTATTTGAAATACTTTTAAAAAGTATTTTACCCAAATTTGGTTATTTCCTACACACAATTTTAATTTTACTTGAATAATAGAAATAAAAAATATAGTATACTATATTTAATCCACCTTTAGCTAGGGATAAGAGGGGAACGGAAAACATATAAAGTATTTCAAATGTCCTACAAAAAGGACATTACCTAGTGTATGAAAAAACAATTCCAAGTGCTACTCAAGCTCCAAAATCATAAGGCTTAATTATGTATATTATGTTTACAGAGTCATATTATAGATAGGTAGGGACCTATATCATGATATTAGTTTTCACTTTTCACTATTGCAATTATCGCGTTTTACCACCATCCTGTGGACCTGTTAACAATAATGATGATGATATCGGCATTTAGGTATAATGTCTTTTATGTAGGTATATATTAGGTACTAAATATTAGTTATTACTATATTATAGGTATTATTATATTTCTAAGTTTTTTCTATAAAATATTATTTCATTAAATGTCTTTAGAAAATAAAAAAAAGTACACGTGGCAATTTGATCTGACCACCACAAAAGCATACACCCCACGAATAATTTGTGATTTTTAGATTGTAGAATATAGGTAGATACTTTTTTGGCACATCCATATAAAATAATAATGAATAGAGATTAAGTAGGTACCTACTAAATAATATAATAAAAAAGTATGACTCAAGTCAAACATGGAATAAGTTACCCATATCTACAGATAAATCTAACTATTAAATATAATGATAATTGATAACGTACTGGTCAAATATATTAATAAAAAATTATGACTCAAGTCAAACATGGAATAAGTTACCCATATCTACAGATAAACCTAAGTATTAAATATAATGATAACATAATGGTCAAATATATTATTTTTTAAGTGTTGATAATATATATTATGAATGACTGAACATTATTTGTTATACGTACATACACAAAATAAGTAATAACATAACATTTAAACATTATGATAGGTATTCAATTGAATTATAATTGAATTAAATTAAGAAAATATGATGTGCCTTGTGTAACAGACTTAAAATAATAATTAAAACAACGATAAAAAAACGGGCAATAGGTATATAATATATTCGCGTTGTTTTAAAAAATAACTTTTTTATGGGACGAATATCTAGAAACATTAGGTTATTTTTGATTGAATATAAAGTACCACCTTTTATTAATTGTAATAATAATAAGTATAAATATACCCAATGAATTGACTGAAATAAACTTTTTTTTAGTTCTACCGTTTAAATGTGTGTTTATTTTTCCTATAACCAATATTATAGATCCATAGGTATTATATTTTAAATAGCTTATGTATGAATTAAATAATATATTATTAAATACTTATTAAAATTGATCATTGTACTCATTTAAAAGTACCTACCTAATTTAAGTATTTTATTTTTGTATACAATAAAACATTATCTAAATAGGAATAAAAATTATATAACTATTGCAATTACAAATATATTTATACTCCCCAATCTAATATTGCAATGAATACGTTAGGATAATATG